CATATAAAAATATGAAAGTAGCTGGGCACTAGTGGCTCATGCTTGTAATCCTAGCTACTCAGGAGGCTAAGATCTGAGGATCACGGTTCAAAGCCAGCCCTGGCAGAAAAGTCCATGAGACTCATCTCCAATAAACTACTAGAAAACCAGAAGTGGTGTTGTGGCTCAAGCAGTAGAGCGCTCGTCTTGAGCTGAAGAGCGAGCCCCAAGACCAACAATATGTGTGTGGGGTGTGTGTGAAGTAGTGAAAATTGGGAGTATTGTCAAGGGAAACCAGGTGAAGGTGGGAGGACCTAGAACTCAAAAAGAGAAGCTTTAGCAAACTTGACTTTGGAACCATGTAAATATTCTATATGGTATAGGCAAAATTAAATTTAAAAATTCAGAAATAGTGATAATGAAATGAACCTCACGGAAGATACAACTGATGCCCTAACCATACTTAGAAAACTTTCCAGTTGCCTTTAAAACCAGAAATTCATACACTTATAGTGAGATTCCCCAAAGACAATGCAATGAAGACATGGAACTGTCCTCAGTGGCCATGCCAGTGATGTTGTGTTGGTACTGCTCCGGTCAGTCTGTTGTGGTTTTTAGATGGGAAAAGGAAATGAGTGGTCCCATTAGTGCAGTTGAACTGAGAGTTTCAGCCAGGGAGAAGGGAAGTGCAGCCATAAGTTGGCTTTCAAGTTGGCTTTCAGGAAGGAACATAGCCCTGAATTGGAAGGACTGACGGACAGTGTCCATACAATGACTGGAAATGCCAAGCTTCTAACAATGCTAGTTCACACCCCTGGCATGCAGGTGTGATCTATGAATGCCCTCTCTCTCTAGACTCACTCATGGATGGGCATGGCTGGCTCCAAGAAGGGATAGAGATCTACATGTAGCCTGCTCTGCCTCCCTTCTGGAAGGCCACTAGCCCTGGAGCCAATGAGGAGACTCTCTCTGGGCAGAGGTAGCAGGAGTTGAATTCACTAAAGAGACTGTAGCTATTGGAACACATCAAACATTGTTATTTTAGAGAATTGCAAATTACAGGCCACTCTAGGCTATATAACAAGACCCTGTTTCAAAAACCAAAAAAAAGTGAATAAAGAGAACCTAGATGAAATTTCTCTAGTAAAAGTATGCTATTAAGCCAGGCTTTTGTGGCTTACATCCATAATACTTGCTACTCAGAAGGCTTTATGAGGATTGTAGTTCAAAGCCAATTTAGGAAGGAAAGTCAGTGAGACTCTGATCCCCAATTAACCACCAAAAAGCCAGAAGTAGAGCTGTAGCTCAAGTAGTAGAGCACTAGCCTTGAGCACAAAAGCTCAAGAAATGACAGTACCCAGTCCCAGAATTCAATCCCTAGGACCAGTTCACACATAAAAAAGTATTTTGTTGTTGTTGGTAGTGGTCGTGGGGCTTGAACTCAGGGCCTGGCATTGTTCCTGAGCTCTTTGGCTTAAGGCTAGTGCTCTACTACTTTGAGCCACAGCTTCACTTACAATTTTCTGGTGGTTAATTGGAGATAAGAGTCTCACAGGGACTTTTCTGCCCAGGTTGGCTTCAAACTGTGATCCTCAGATCTCAATCTTATAGCTAGGACTACAGATGTGAGACACGAGAGCCTGGCCTATGCTTTAGTCTTGCCAAGGGAAAAAAAATGTACCTGAAATTCTAGATGTCAGTTTATAGGAAGCATCGATCATGCTCTCGGTAAAATCCTAAGTGAGGAACTACAGACAAATGGTCTGCTTTCCTAGAAAAATAAATAAAAATAGGAGAAACTACATATTCAAAGAAACCTAAAAGAAATACCCACCAAACACACCGTATAGATTTTTCCATTTGTACTCTAAATCAAGGAATGAACAAGAGAAGAAAGGGAAGGAAGAGGGAGTAAGGTCAGGGATGTGACCAGTGCCTGGATGTTGTTCAAGGAACTATCACCATTTGGGGTATGATCATAGTTTTTAAAAAGATTTCCTATCTGGGCTGGGAAGGTGACTCAGTGGTAGAGCGTTTGCCTCGCATGCATGAGGCCCTGGGTTCGATTCTTTAGTACCACATAATCAGAAAAAGTTGGAAGTGGCGCTGTGGCTCAAGTAGTAGAGTGCTAACCTTGAGCTGAAATGCTGAGGGACAACATGCAGGCCCAGAGTTCAAGCTCCATGACCAACAACAAAAACAAAATTTCCTATCTCTTGGAAACATACATTGAAGACCTGAGGGTGAGAGTTTACGAGACCTTGAGATCACTCTGCTATGGCCTCAGCCGAGGGAAGATAGTGGGCAGAGGTGGGCACAGCCTCACCAAAAGTGACTGTGGTTGGTTTGTTACAGTCTCTATTTTTATCTGTATTTGAATTTTTTTTTTTTTTTGTCAATCGTGGGGCTTGAACTCTGGGCCTGGGCACTGTCCCTGCATACTTCAGTGCAAGGCCAGCTCTCTACCACTGGAGCCACAGCACCACTTCCGGTTTTCTGGTGATTAATTGGAGATAAGAGTCTCACAGAATTTCCTCCCCAGGCTTGCTTTGAACCGTGGTCCTCAGATGTCAGCCTCCTGAGTAGCTAGGATTACTGGCATGATCCACCAGCACCCGGCTGTATTTAAAATTTTTTATACAATAGTTTAAGACACAATTTTGAGTGGGGAAAAAAGACAGAATGGTAATTACAATTAGACATAATTTTCATAAACTTAATAGCACAAAATAGTACAATGAGTTGATTATAGGTTCACTGAAAGTGAGTGAAACTATGAAAAGGGACTGAGGAAATTCAAGCTGGCTTCAGAAAAGGGCTGTCTGAAAGGGGCAGGGAGGACAGAGGATTGAGTGGGATTACAAAAAATGGCTCTTTTTATTTCAAAATATCTTCAGGATTAGAGAACTATTTTAAGTATCATACAAACAATTTCACCTCCCAAATACTGTTACCCGGGTCTTCTGCCTGTGTGTCTATGTCTCTGTGTCTCTCTGACTCTCATTTCCCTCTCTCTCTGTTTCACACACACATACACACATGCACACACACAAACACACATACATTCACTTTCTCTGAACAACTTGAGGACAGGTTGAATATAATACATGTTATCTCAACAATTCACTGTATATTTTCCAAGAACAAACCCATTTTCACATGTAACCACAGCACAATCTTCAGATTAAGGCTATGTGACCACTGATACTTTCAGTTTACTTCCCACTTTCTTAATGAGCTCACTTTGTGGCTCTTCTCCAGCACAGAGTTCAGTGTCACATACCTTCACATTTCCGTAGGACTTCAATCTGCAGTGCCCCAAACCTCTTGTCTGACATTGCATGGGCATATTTTAAGAATACAAGATACTTCTTTCACAGAACTGTCCTGAGTTTGGTTTTCCTCATAAGTAAATGCAGATCTTGCAGCTCCAGATGAAAGCATAAAATGGTGTCAGTCAGCTGAACTTGGGGCCCAAAGATATCTATAGAGTACCTCTAGCTGGGGAGTTGAGATTGACCTTGGACCAGGGTTCGTCCAGTTTTCTGCTGCCCACTTGAGAAGTACCTCCTCAGGCACTGGAAGGCCTTCCTCCTCAGCAACCTGACATTCATTGACTGCACGTTTCCATCAGGAAGCCTGGTGTTCAGTATCTGTAAGAGATGACGTTGGATAAGACCATGTGTTCAAAGAGCTAGGTCAATACAGCTTCTATCATGAAGCAAGCTATACATAACAGTACTGGATTTTAAAATTTCACCTGAATCTTGTACAGATGTTCTTCTAGAAAGCACCACATGGTCATCTCATATTTAAAATGTCACATATATAATCTTCTGATTCTGCCCCAACCCTGCTCACCACATTTCCCTTACCTTGGTGTTACCACTGTCCAAAAGCTGTGTAGGGGCAGGTCTTCCTCTCTCCCTCATCCTAGTCTCTCAGACAGGCTCCATGCCTGCCAACTCCTTCTCTATGGCCCAGCTAGACCACCGTGCCTTGGAACCACCTCCTGTCTCCCATCTTGCCTTCTTCCACACACAGAGATAGTGTTTATGACCATACTGCTGGTCTGCCTTGGTCCCTCAAAGGTTTCAGCTCCTGGGTGTGCTCCACACCACAGGAGTGGGATCCTAGCCTCTCTGTCTTCACAGTCCCCAGTCTACTGTGCTACACACAGGGGTTTGTGTTCAGCCTGTATTGTGTATTTATTACAGTACCAGGGGTGGGATCCAGGGCCTTGTTCATACCAGGCAAGTGCTCTCCTGCTCATTTTTACCCCAAATCCCACACGGTCATTTTAGATGGGCTTTGGGTGGCCACGGTTCCTAATGTTGTCATCTTCAGATCATCACATCAGCTAATACACTCTGGTAGTAATGTCCTAGAACATGAGAGATTCATAATATATTATAATATATACTCTCCTGCATGGAAAATCCTAGTTTAAAATCAACGTTTTCTAGTAATGGTACATCTTTTTTGTTTTTAACCGAGACTGGGAGTCGAACTCTTGATCTAATGTTTTCACTCATTGGCTGATGGTCTACTACCTGGGCCACGCCTCCAATCCTGTGGTACATCTCCTAACAGGAAACTCAGCAGGTGCGGCTTTGTAACCAGTGCTGAAATTATCGCCCTGAAGACATCACTAGGCTCAGACAGCACAGCAAGGCAGGGGAAAAGACATGGCCTCCTGCAGGAAGGGTTCCAACCAGGCAGGCAGGGAGGCAGGCCCTGTTTTTAGTACTTAAAGAGTCCTTTCTCTACACCCACTTGATTCTTTTATCTAACGGCACAGTGTGGGACCCTGTCTGAGGGCTTCCTGCTCCCCTCAGGGGGACATTCTATTCTGAGTTAAATCATGAACCTCAGTTGGAGCTTTCAACCATGGGCTGATATGGAATCTTTGACACCATGAGCAATTATGTCCCAGTGCTAATAGCTCAGAAGCTGCACACCTAAGTTTGTTTACCTGCTGAAACCGCCCCTGGAATCTCACTTCTCACTTTGTGCCACAGGTGCAGAATGCCCAGCCACTGGTGGACACCCGTGCACCACCAACTTTCAGCCACCTGCACCTGAAGCTCAAGAGGCTGAAGGTACATGATTAATCATGCTGCCCAAGGTCTTAGCGCCCCCCAAGACCCAGGGATGCGGGTAGGGAGACAGAGTCTCTAGTTAAAGACAACTGTAGGCTTGGTGGTCAGCTGATACAGTCCTACCCCAGTTGAAATATTGGGTAATTACACTGGAACCTTCTAGATCCTCAAGCTGAATCATCATGCCTCACCTTCGGGCAGTGCTATTTCTACAGGGAAGCTTCAGAAAACACACTTCCTTTGAACTAAAACATTTGGCTGCTCAGAATGCTTATTCTTGAGCTTTAGGCTGTTCAGCAAGAGTGAGACCTGGGTGGCATATTCCGGCAAAGCCTCCACGGCACACTGAGACATCCTTCTTACATGGCTAGGAACAATGGGGAATGGCCTGAACACAAGTACAGCCCATTTTGAGCAAACCCAAAGGTCAATGTATTTAAAAGTGACACATTATTTTCTCTGGGCCCAAAGACCCTTCTCTTCAGAACAATGCTAAATATATCTCTTTTAAAATATAAAATCATTTCAATATTAATGTGACTACCTAGTTATCAGTTTGGGAAAGTGGCATCATTTTGGAAGATGCTGTAGCTCCTCACTGCTGCAAATCCACAGCACAGTAGCACCAGCCCCTGGTTGTGGCATGCCGGCCGCCGGTGAGGCTAGGGGACCTGCAGAGGACAGTCAGGAGAACTGTGCTCCGAAGCCTGGGCTCCTCAGGGATCTCCATGTCTGCAGCTGGAGGAGGAACGGCTGTCTGTCATCGACAGGGACAATCGCCTGCTTCTGCAGAAGGTGGCCTCTGCTATGCGGAACAAGAGACAAACTGACAGCAGAATCATCTCCAGAAATCAGAGGTAACTGAGAGGCCAGCTATGAGGGTGGAGCGAGGCAAGGTGTACTGTCCCCTCCACCCCAGGATGAAAGCAGGGAGTGCTCCGGCAGCGGCCCCCGAGTGCAAGCCATCTTCAAAACCCTGGGCTTCAAGGCCCCTAGAAGATGGGAACCCAAGGTGACAATTACCCTGACCTTGTACCTGTTGCACATACCATTCAATGAACTGCTGGACTCTTCATTCTTACCAGGACCTAGTGAGGTAGAGTGGTTGTGTTCCTTCCTTCGCACATGGGGGAACTGAGGCATAGGGTGCCTGCAGAATTTAGCCAAGACTGCAGTCAGACCTTGGTGAGTGCAAGGTGTTCCCAACCTTGCTCATTCAGCAGTCCACAAGCCATCATTTTGCTCATTGTGTGGCATCTATAACTGAGACATACCTCCAACGCCAAGCCATCATTTTCCACAACCAGCAGGTCTACGTTCTTCCTTGTCTGTCAAGGAGAGTAAAGACGTGCACAAATCCCGAAAGGGCCTGGGCCACTTCACATCAGCCAGACTGTGGTGCTGATCCTGTTCTCTAGCAACCCCTGCTTTCCCTGGTGTTGACTTTGGCCCTTTGGCAGAGGAGAGAAGTGGACCTTCCTGCTTCCTGTCCCTCCACACCACCCTATGAACACTAGCACATGTCCCCTGTTCTTGTGGCCTCAGCCCTAACCCAGCTTACTAGTTGTCCTTCCCTTTAAGGGTGGGGCCCAGAGACAAGGGTGGTGGTAAGGGAGGCTTTCCTTCAGAAACACTTGCATTTTTTTTTGTCTGTTGTGGGGCCTGAACTCTGGGCCTGGGCGTTGTCCCTCAGCTCTTCAGCTTAAGGCTAGCACTCTACCACTTGAGCCACAGTGCCACTTCTGCTTATATTCACCGTATGTTGCCATGACAAGCCTAGAGAGTGAGAGTTTCTCTTCTGTAAGAGCCAGGCTCATGCTCCATCTGCTGGCTCCTCTGTGTCCAGTCTATTTGCTGCTGACTGAGCCACTGGAAGACACACATTGTTTAAGTACAACTATCCCTCTCTTTGTGCCCCAGTGCCCTTCTTAGTAGAGAAAGATCCAGAATGTTCTTCCAGGCTGGTTACCTCTTATTCAACTTCAATCTCAGCTCAGTGTTGTGCTCCAGGAGACTTGACCCCACTCAAAATAAGGCTCCCTGCATATCACACATACTTGTAGTTGTGTGTGTGTGTGTGTGTGTGTGTGTGTGTGTGTGTGTGTGTATGTGTGTGTGTTTGCCTATTTACCATCTGTTTTCACACCAAGCATGAGACTGGTACCTGTAGGAACTTTCTCTATTCTGTTCATCACTGTTCTGTTCATCATGCACACCTATGTTCTGCACAAAAGCTTACTGTGAGTACTCAGTAAATGTTTGCTGAGTGGCTGAATAATCGAATGAGGTCACCAAGGACTCACAGTTCCCAAATCCATCAAACCGTTTTCCTTTTTAAAGCATAAAAATAATTTTCTTGTTTTTCCTGATCATACACAGAAAGTAGAAAGAAATTTTAAATTACCTATATTTGTATTTTCCAGTGGTGTGTGTATGTGTGTGTGTGTGTGTGTGTGTGTGTGTGTGTGTGTGTGTGTGCCGGTGTACATGGTTCTGAGGTTTGAATTTAGGGCCTTGCTTTTTCTAAGCAAAATCTCTACCACTTGAGCCACAACCCCAGCCCTTTCTGGCTTCCTCAGGTTTCAGATAGGGTCTTGTTTTCTGCTCATATCCCTGGGTCTGTCCTCCCTTCCTTGCTGGTGGCCTCATTCTCCTTTTGAGACTCTGCCCGGCATCTCTTCCTGGAGCTACCTCCACCCACATCCGTGGGAGGACAAGCACCTTCACCTCACCTTATGAGCCTTCCTGCCTCCTGAGACTGGGTTGAACAGGTTTGTTTGAGGTTTGTTTCCTGGGTTAGCGAACAGCAGCCACACACATGGCAGCCACTACTTGCCCTGTGAGTGCAGAGCTGCTATTGTAACTTTCAGCCTGTCACGAAAGGCATGAGTTCTCTTCTGAAGTCTTCCCAGGGAGAAAAGAAAACAAGAACTTCACAGAATGCAAAAAGAAAACAAAGTCATATTAGAGAGAATCACAAATGCACAGCCACGGTACAGAGCACAGAGATGGTGGAGGACTTGGACTCCAAATGAGAAGCTTGGGGACACAGTCACAAAACACCCTCAGAAACTTCAGGCAAATCTGGTGAGAAGGTACATGTGATTTCTCCGGTGATATAGATTCATAGCTGTCTGAAATTCCATTTCTCTCTGTCAGATTTACCAGTTTCTGAAGCATGTTCTTCTCTTGTCAGTGAGAAGATGCCACGCGGTCACAGAAGCCATGGTGTGGCCTGCCAGAGTTCATTCATCTTTTCCTTACAAACCTACAAGTAGAAAAAAAAATAAGCTCAGTTGATTGATGACACATTCTGGGAAAAATTGACTAAATCAGTAGCTTGACCAGATAGCACTCACCAAACTTCATTAAGAATCATGTGGCCAGGCATTAGTGACTCATGCCTACAATCCTAGCTACTCAGGAGGCTAAGATTTGAGGATCAGGATTTGAGGCCAGCTTGGGTACAAAAGTCTATAAGATTCTAATCTCCAATAAACCACCCAGAAAAAGATGGAAATGGCACTGTGTCTCAAGTGGTACAGTGCTAGCCTTGAGCAAAAGAAGCTCAAGGACAGGGCCCAGGCCCAGACTTCAAGCCCCAGGACAAAAAGAAAGAAAGAAAAAGAAAGAAAGAAAGAAAGAAAGAAAGAAAGAAAGAAAGAAAGAAAGAAAGAAAGAAAGAAAGAAAGAAAGAAAGAAAGAAGGAAAGAAGGAAGGAAGGAAGGAGGAAAGAAGGAAGGAAGGAGGAAAGAAGGAAAGAAGGAGAGGGAGAGAGGGAGGGAGGGAGGGAGGAAGAGAGGGAGGGAGGAAGAGAGGGAAGGAGGAAGAGAGGGAGGAAGGGAAAGAGAGAGAAACAAAGAAAGAGAGGGAGGGAGGGAGGAAGGAAAGAAGGAAGGATGTGATCTAAGCACTGGCTACTTATGCCTATAATGCTAGCTACTCCAAATGCTAATATTTTTGAGAAATGTAATTTGGAACAAGCCTGGTAAGAGAAATTGAATTATCTCCAATTCACCTGAAAAAATAAAAGCCATAAGCAAAAAAGCCAAGCAAGAGTCCAAAGCTCTGAGTTCAAGCCCCAGTACAGAAGAAGAAAAAAAGAGAGAAAGAAATAAAGAGGTCATCCTGAATTAGCTGTCCCACAGAGAATCAGAACAGCAAAGAAAATTCATCATCTGAAAGAATTTGCCAGACAAGTTATATTCTAAACACTTTCTCTTCATCTCTATGAGCATTGTAAGATTGTGGTTCTGTATTTTTCTTTATACTTTTACAGTTTTCTTGATTACCTATGTTTAATAAATATAGAAGTCAATAAATGTAGAATTTTGTATTTTGCATAAAGCAGATATTTGGAAAATGTATTGCAAATTTAAAACATCAATTTTTTTTTTTGCTAGTGGTGTTACTTCTGCCATCTTAATGTTTTTATCTTACTTTAAAATTTTATTTTTTTAGGGGCTATGAAGGTGATTCAGTGGTAGAGTGCTTGCCTTGCATGCATGAAGGCCCTGGGTTCTGTTCCTCAGCACCACATAAACAGAGAAAGCCAGAAGTGGTGCTGTGGCTCAAGTGGTAGAGCACTAGCCTTGAGCTGAATTGCTGAGGGACAGCGCCCAGGCCCAGAGTTCAGGCCCCATAACTGACAGGAAAGAAAAAAATTATTTTTATTTTAGGTTAAAAAGTTAATTTTGTTTTTAAATGAGTACAGAGGCTTTTCTCTGAGCTTGAGCTACTCATATTTATTTGGCATAGTTTACCTAGCAAATACCAAGAGAATGCTAGAATTGATGTTTAAACTCTTATCTTTGTTTAAAAAATACTTTGTAATTGTTATTATAAAGGTGATGTACAGAAGGGTAACAGTTACATAAGTCAGGACAGTGTTACCCCTGGCCTCGCTCTCTCGTGGTTCCCCCACCCCACCCACAAACTGTATAATTCATTGTCAACATGGTGTCTAGTGAGCACCACCACTGCATTTGTTTGCCCTTTGTGCCTCCATATCTGTGCCTCCCCTTAGACTCCCAAAAACACATGAAGGAACAAGCATGACAAAAAGAAAAGAAAATGAAAACAGCAACAAAGGAAAAAGACCTCCTTTCCACCAACTCTTACCTTTTACATAAGAGGAAGGGCCTGGCCTCAGAGGGGGGAGCTGCTGAGAAGCAGCGAACAAGAGTGAAGGCCCTTCTGTTTAAATGTGGACACTCCATGGAGTGCCAGCTTCACTCAGAGAAAGCATGGTGCAACCGTGGCCCTGTGGCCATGCCCTGAGAACAGTCTTTGGAGACAGGCTCCTCTGGTGCTAGGCCTGGCAGTTGTTGCCGGCTCTGGCTTTTCCCCTCACATGACACACTGTCAACTGGCTCTAGCTGTCAGAAGATGACCTCTTCATAAACAGACTTCCAGACTTCTTAGGTTCGTTGCTAGGGCCTTTACCCTTGTGCGTGTGAAGAAGAGGAGGTGAAGGCCATGCATGTGGACACCTCAGCCCCAGGTAGGAGGGTTTTCAGTGCCTTGCTATCTGGTTCTTCAGCTTAAGAGACAAAACCTTGGCTTAGTATCTTCAGGGTTACAAGAAAGAAAAGCAAAATCAAGTTATCTGAAAACTACAGGTAAAGGAAAGGAAAGCATTGTTTTATAGGATTAGAAGTTAGAAATGTCTAAGAAATCTTGAAGGTTAGTTGCTTACCCAGCTGGCTGGCCAGTTGGGGCTGGGACCTTTCCTGTTCAGATAGGGACTACCTTGAAGTTACAGAGGTAGATCTTTCGAGGACTTAGCAGAGAACCCTGTACTCGCCGGAGACCAGCGCCTGTGTGAGCCAGCTTCCACGGAGCTGCCTGCTCTGCCTATG